TGGCTTCATTGCTTGAGCAAATTAACATATCTTCTGAGATTTTGTATGCAGCTATTGATCTAGCAAATGCTTTTTTTTCAATACCTGTTAGTAAAGATCCCAGAAGCAGTTTGTTTTCAGCTGGGAAGGGCAGAAATATACCTTCAGTGTTCTACTTCGGGGTATATCAACTCTCCAACCCTATAGCCTCATGAAGTTGATCACCTTTCCCTTCCATAAGACATCATGGTGGTCCATTACATTGATGAGACCTAGTGAGCAAAAGTAGCCACTAATCTAGACTTGATTAAGTTGGGTGGAGAAAACAGTTAAGTGCTCAACGACTAGCCAAAAGGTTGGTGGTTCAAACCCACCCAGGGGCACATTGGAAGACAGGCCTAGTGATCTGCTTCTGAAAGGTCACAGCCTTAAGAATCCTACGGTGCTGTTCTACTCTGCACACATGGGGTCGCCATGAGTTGGAATCAACTCAACTACAATTAACAACAACAATACTCTAGACTTATTGGTAAAACACTTGTTAGAGGGTGGGAAATATTTTCGAAAAGAATCCAGGCCCTACTACCTCAGTGAAATGTCTAGGGGTCCAGTGGTGTGGGCATTTTGAGATATCCCTTCTAAGGTGAAGGGTAAGTTGTTGCATCTGGCACTTCCTACAACAAAAAAAAGAAGCACAATGCCAAGTAGGCCTCTTTGGATTTTGGGGGCAACTTATTTCTAATTTGGGTGTGCTACTCCAGCTTGTTTACCAAGTGACCAAAAAAGCTTGAGTGGGGCTCATCACCAGAGAAGGCTCTGCAATAGGTCCAGGCTGCCATACAAGCTGCTCTGCCACTTTGGCCATATGACTGAGCTGATCCAATGGTGCCTGAAGAGTCAGTGGCAGATAGAGATGCTGTTTTGAGCTTTTAGCAGGTCCCTATCCTGGTGGCATAGTGGTTAAGAGCTATGGCTGCTAACCAAAAGGTTGGCAGTTCAAATACACCAGCTGCTCCTTGGAAACTGTATGGGGCAGTTCTCTCCTATAGGGTCACTATGAGTTGGAATCAAGTTGACGGCAACAGGTTTTTTTGGTATGCTGGTGGCACTGTGGCTAAGAGCTCGACTGCTAACCCAAAAGTTGGCAGTTCAAATTCACCAGCCACTCCTTGGAAACCTCATGGTGCAGTTCTACTCTGTCCTAAAGGGTTGCTATGAGTTGGAACCAACTTGATGGCAATGGGTTTGGTTTGTTTTTGGTATTGGTGAATCACTGCACAAACCCTTAGGATTTTGGAAGAAAAGTCTATCATCTTCTGCAGATAACTACTCCCGTTTTGAGAAATACCTTCTGGCTTGCTACTAGGCTGTAGTAGAAACTTAATGCTTAACCAGGGACCACCAAATTACCTTGCAACCTGAGCTGCCCATCATGAACTGGGTGTTGTCTGACCCACTAAGCCATAAGGTTGGACATGCACGGCAGCACTCCATCATGAGATGAAATGGTATATTGGAGGTAGGACTTGAGCAGGCCCTGAAGGAACAAGTAAGTTACATGAGGAAGTGGCCCAAATGCCCATGGTCCCCATTCCTGCAACATTACCTTCTCTCTCCCAGCCTGCACCATACCAGTTGCCCTATGATCAGTTGACTGAGGAAGAAAAAACTCAGACCTGGTTTATAGATTGTTCTGTGTGATATTCAGGTACCACCTGAAAGTGGACAGCTGCAGCACGGAAGCCCGTTCTGGAACATCCGTGAAGGACAGTGGTGATGGGAAATTCTCCCATCGGACAGAACTTCAAACAGTACACCTGGTTGTATATCTTGCTTGGAAAGAAATGTATACCAAGTATATACCGATTCATGGACAGTGGCCAGTGGTTTGGCTGCATGGTCAGTGACTTGGAAGGAACATGATTAGAAAATTAATGATAAGGAGGTCTGGGGAAGAGGTATATGGGATGAGAGTTGAAAAACATGAATCCAAAGGAAATTGAGAGAACGAGGAAAGCAAAGTGGATGGAGACAAAAAAGGTGAAGGAGCTGGGCAAGGGTGTGAACCTGAATGCTCAGCTCTTTATGCATCCAGCTTGAGGCCTCTCCCACCCATGCCCATCTGGGAGGGCTGGGATGCAGCACGAGCCCCCCAAATACCTGGAAGCAGGAGGCGTGGGGAACCAGGAGGTCGGGGAGAAGTGGGGTGTGTGTACCACTGGTCTTTGCAATAAGGGGTCCCCAAGAAGGCAGTACACTTTTTGCAGACCTCTCCTCAAGAGGCGGGAGGGGGTAGGTGGAGAAGAGCTGCCCCTAGAGCCACCCCCAGAGCCCTGTCCCCGCCCTCACCCCTGCTATCAGTGACCGCCACCATAGTCACTCACTGCCAGGAATAGGAAGAAGGAGATGTCATGAAATGAAACTGAGAACACAAGCAAGGGACTTGTAGGTAATGCAAAAAGTCTTTTAGAGCCATTGAAGGGTTTTAAGTATGTGAGAGAAAATCGGATTCACTCTGGCAGTGTTAAGAATGGACTTGGACTGGAGGCAGGGGGGCTAGTTGCACTTGGACTACATAATCACCAGTTCAGGCACTATAAGTTCATACCAAGCTAGCCTGAAAATTGGACTGATGTGATTAGCTGATGCCATCCTCTCGTATCTAGTGCAGCAAACCAATGTTGAATGGGCAAAGCCAACTAAAGAACTCCTGGTTAGGGAATAGGAGGAAATGGGATGTACGGCTAATTGTTTTTCTATGAGCAACTTCCTCCTTTGCCATGAAACCAGAAGAACTGGATGGTGCCTGGCCGTCATTATGAACATTTTGATCAAAGAGTCTATAGAAGAATCTTGATCAAAAGGGGGGAAATTCAGAACAGATTTCAAATTCTCATGGAATCCAGACTTTTTGGAGCCATTGAAATTGGATGAACCCCAAGACTACTGCCTAAGATAATCTTTAAACCTTAAAAAAAAAAAAAAAAGAATTCCTGGTTGAGATTTGGGTATCAGTTAGGAAATTCGGATTAAATAAAGAAGCTAATTATCTGGGCTTTTACTAAAGAGAAATTTCTCTTATTTTCCACTTCTAAATCATACTAGAAAGGTATTAATGTATATTTTTAATGGTGGCCCAAAGAAAATGTTTTCTGAATCATCAATACTATGTGCGGTACTTTGGTATCGATGCATTGTAGTTCTTTGAAAAATCATAATACCCTGTAAATGGTATTTATTAAACAGAATAATTTTTTAAACCAGAATACGGTATTTTCTGACCACAATGGAAGTAATTTCCTAAAGCTGTACACACAAATACTATACAATTTCATGGTGGTATCATTAGCATTACTGTTATGGCTCTGAATCCTGGGGTCTTTCTCTTCTGTAGCTTTGATTGGTTGTACCAAGGCCATTCAGAGGCTAATTAGCACTTCTTTGCCAAGATGCAAGAGCAGAAGAAAAATTTCAGACTGTTTCTTAGTGCCGTAGTTTATAAATAATATTAAAGGCCTTCTGTTTCATTGTAGCTTTTCAAACCGCTGTACAAACAAAAGGTGCGGTTACTGTTTAGCTTTACACTCTTTCTCACTGCAAGGCCTGCTTCCTCTATACACGGGCTCGAGTAATTGCCTATATTCCCGGTCCTCTGTGCACCTTCTGGAAGTTTCCTGGTGATCTAAGATCTGTTTCCTAACGTGGTCGTGGAAGCGCCTGGAAATGTTTCACCACCACTAGGTGGAGGACACCTGTTTTATGAGGCGAGAGGTTATGAAATAGGAGGTGAAACCAAAAAATGGGAATTGTGACCATGGTGCCAGGGCCCTCAAACCTGTCTAGGAGTTAGCGGGCCTCCTGGTCTCCATTCTATGACCTGCGACCCCATACTTCCCAGATCCAGGTCTGGGATCCCAAGCTTAGAGTTCCAAACTCCATCTCCCAAAGCTCCCTCCCACCCCGGGCATTTTTGAATACGGCCATCTCAAGTTCGTAGTTATCTGTGCGTTGCTGCAGATGAAGGATAGCAGGAGATCACAGCCTGCGAATCCGAGTAGCGTCAGGTCAGCTACGATCTTCCAGTGAACAGGTAGGAGGAGACGTCTGGATTTGCTCCTCTTCCCCTACTTCTTCAAGAGACACCATCCCGCCTTCCTGCTCTGCCTAAGAGATGCTCCTTAATCATTGCCCAAGGTCTTCTGTGCCCTCTTCCTCTCTGTTTTTTCCACTTCCAAACTCCTACTGAAGGAGGTGGATGGCAGAACAGAGGACAGGATACAAAGAAGTTTCTTAAAACACCTTCTTTTCTAGGTTCTAAAGACGTCCCCTTTTACGGAACCAGGCCCACCTCTTTCCCATCCACCTACTGGCTTTCCTTCCTGCCCATCACTCTACCTTTAAGAATATTTCCTGTTACTTCAACCCAACTTGCACACCTCCGCCCTTTCGGCCTTCTTCATTGGGCTGCCCAAGGTTTCTCCTCCGCCCCCTCCCGCCCCCTAGCTCCTCACAGCAGCGTCCTGGCTTCTGATTGGCTAACATGGCAGCCTCCCGGCGTCGGATTGTTGGGCTAGGCGGCAGGGGCGGGAGGGCGGTGCACGGAGATTAGGCTGTCCGCGCGTGAGAGGCGGCCGCGGGAGGGCGGGAGGGCGGGAGGCCGGGGGGAGGGGGGCTGGGAAAGTTGAGGCCGAGCTGCTGCCGGGTCTCCGGCCTGTAGGGCTCGGGCTCGCAGCGGCGGCGGCAGCCGAGGACGAGGCAGCGGGGCGGGGGGAGAGAGGGCCTGGCCCACGCTCCCCCAGCCCCGGAGGAGCAGGCGGCGGACGCGGAGGGAGAGACTCGCCCGGGCGGCTGGACGCCCCTGCCTTCCCCGCCTGGCATCATGACCGAGGCGGGGGTGGCCGAGACCGCGCCGCCCGCGGGTGAGTGACTGCGGGAGGGGCCGCTGACGGCCGGGTGGGGGCGGCTCCGGGGGCGGTCCGGGCTCCGCTCCACCCACCCTCCCGGCTCGGGTGCCTCCTTCCGGGGACCCTGGGTGCGGGCGCTGGCGCTGCGAGGCCCGCACCCTCCTCTCCCGCCTTCAGCCGCCGCGCCCGGGGCACTCGCACCGCGCCCGGACCCGTGTGCGCGCGGGCGGGCGGGGAGGCCCACGCTGTCCGGGTGCATGAAGGGCTGGGCAGCCGGCTTCACCCGACGGCCTTGCCCGCCGCCGTCCTCCCCCGCTCTCCGTCCGCTCTGCTTCCTCGCCCTCTGCATTTCCCTAGGACCCACTCCTCAGACTCCGGGGGCTGCTTAACTCTCACCCCTGTGTAGGAGAGTTCGGTAGCATTTTCTTTTAGAAGCTTTCTCTTCCTTTCTGAATAGAAATGGCACAAGTGAATGTCAAGCTCTTGAAATTTAGTTCCATATTTCCGAAAGAAATATGATTTCTAGATTCTTACTCACGTTTAACATTTTGATTGTTGAGTTATCTCCTGCTTAATCCCCGAAACTCCCAGGGTTACAATGGGATATGGTCTGTGGCGCTTATTCACTTTTTGTAGAAATAAGAGACCGCATAAACCCATATATGCAGGATTCCAGCTATAGGCATCCAACTTATGTACTCGTAAGATTTTTACCACTAAGGAGATAGAGTCACCTAATACCACACAGAGCAAGACAGTTCTGGCCATCTGAAGCTTGCAGGTAAAGAAGACAGTTGCTTACTAGATAAAGTACAGATTTCTTCAATAAACCCTTCTGGTGAGTAATATGGACCCTGAAGCATAGTGATACGTTTGTTTTTTCTGTAAAAAAATTTTTTGAAGGATCAACAGGCTGTTGTACTCTCTAGTCCTCCGACACAGGACACTTGTTTAACCTGGTGCAGAGTTACAGAGTTGCTGTATGGGATACATGTGTTGCTTTCCTTTACTCATGAAGTACTCTGAAAGTATTTGTTACAAAAGGAGGAAAATACTTTGTAATCGTTGCGTTTCTGAAACCAGGAATAGTTTAATGCCTCCAGGTACTTCAGGAATGAAGAGTCAGTCTCACATTTTGTTCTAATTCAAGCAATATGACTTTTGTATACATGGAGATTAGATTCCCTCTAAATTTAAAAGAGAAGTTTTGTAAAATCTGTACATGTATGCAGCCTAGATCATTCCCTAATATAAAAGCATTTCATTCAGATTAGGGGCTCCCTACAATTGAAATAATTATTTTTCTAGGTTAGTTGTCTGTGGGGCATCATGGAAATAAAGTTGCAGACGGCAGGTAGTCAACTAGTCATGTATGGGAAATTGATGAGTTCTTTTCCTGTTCTCAGAGTTTATCACTGTCAACAAGGGAAAAGATAGGCAAAGAAAATTGAGAATGTTTAACAGGTTAGAAGATAAACTTCAATAGATGAGCTGTTCTCAATCCAGACTGTACATAAAGAACCACCTTGTGAGCTTTTAAATGTAATGCTCAGGCCACTCTCCCAGAGATTTTGTTACTTTTGATTTGGGGCTAGGCTTGGCCATTTTTTTTTTTTTTTTAAGCTCTCTAGATGATTCTGTTGAGCAGCCAGAGTTGAGAACTATGAGTCTAGAACAGCATCCAAGCTGCTAGGCTTCTATTCCAGGTTCTTCTAAACCACACCTTAACTTAATGTCTCCAGCTTTCCTTGACTGCTTCCCAAAATGAACCTTGGGACCCCTTCAGAATCCCACAGGTATGCAGTTCACATCCCTGCTTCTGTTCCGGATACTGCCCTTTCTCATATGGACGAATCCCCTCCCCACCAACAGTAGCTCTAATTCCACTTTTATGAAGGGTTTTCTGACAGCTCACACAAGCTCTTAGTGATTGGCTTCCTTTGAACTTGTATGCCATGTATTATTTGGAAAACACACTTTACACTTATATGATGTAGTAGTTTGACTTATTTTGTATATGTGTTTCATTCTCAAACAAAGGGCGAGGAGTATTTTTGGTTTCTCTACAATAGGTTGCTTTGAGTTGGATTGGTTTGCTTTGGTTCCTTTCAGATTCTGCCTGCAACCATAATGTCAGGTTTGATTCCAGTGCTTAAATAACATTGAATTCATGTATGGACATCAGTTTCTTCCATATCTTTTACTCTTCAGTAGGCTGGTTGTTTCTTCTCGTGTGGTGCCATAACATCTTGTACTTACTTCTGTGCTAACACTTACCAGATTGCCACAACTGTGTTTATCTGCCTTCTCCACCAAGCTGCTAACGCCAGGTTCTCTATGTTATGCGACTCCAGCAGGTACCATTTATGTTGTTTTCTTAAATACAGTTGCAACATGGCAGAGCTAGAACAGGACCAACACAGGAACTGTGTTCTCTTCATCTTTGTATTCCTAGTACCTAACATAGCATTTGTCGTTGTTGTAGCTGCGATAGAGTCATCCCCGAATCATTTTGACCTCAGACAGTTGTGATCCATAGGGTTTTCACTGACTGATATTAGGAAGTAGATTGTCAGCTTTTATTCGTGGTCTGTCTTAGTCTGGAAGCTTCACTGAAACCGCTTAGCTTAATAGCAACATGCAAGCCTCCACTGACAAACTGGGGTGGTGGCTGCTCACGAGTGCATTGGCTGGAAATCAAACCAGGGTCTCCTGCGTGGAAGGCAAGAATTTTACCACTAAACCACCACAGTAAGCATGTTGTGATAGCATTTGTCATTAGTAGGCACTTAATAAATGTTTGTTGAATGAACGAATGACTATTGTGTTATATATTATGCAGAGATAACCAGATATATCTTTAGCATAGGCTGATTTGGCATTAGTTGATTTTGCTATTAAATATCCTTATGTCCTGTACTTCTGTTATGGATTTGTTAAGAATTAGTGGGATGCAAATAATAGTGGTATTGGCAGCCCCCTTAAAACATGTTGTCATCTTCCTTCCAGTATGCACGGGCAAATATATACCTGAGTCTTTTACTCTGAGCTCTAAAGGTTGATTCTTGTTATCTGTAAAATATTTGTGGAACTCCCACTAAGAGAAAAGCTGTTAACTGTCCAACTGGATAATTTTTCTTTTTCTCATTAACTTTTCCATATGGGTACAATTGCAGTGCTTCAGAAGGCCAAATCTTTTAATTAGATCAGTAGGGCATGATAAGTTGCTCCTATTAACGTGCTAATACTCTGTTTTTAATTCAGTTCATCAAGTATTTATTAAATGCTTACCATATGCCCAACACTGTTAGGTGCTAAAGAGAATACAGAAGTAGCAAATAATGTGAACTCAGCTGTAAAGAAGTTTATAGACTTATTGGGAGGAATGGGGACACCCATATCAAATAATTAAGAGACTTAACACAGTATTCATTAGGTGCTAAATTAAACGTAAGTACGCCAAACCTATGATCCAATGATCAATGCTGTGAAAAATTAGGAAAGAGCAGATATTCATTGTATCAGACATTTATTACTCCCTTAGTACTAATTGTTGAGGATTCAAATATGAATGATACAGTCTCTACTATTTAGAAACTTATGAACTAGTGGGGAAAACTGGCAAGTATATAGAGTGTATTTCATGTTAACACACTGTAGGATATTAGTAAGCATGTTTGGGACTAAGAAGAAGGGTGTCTTGTCTAACCTCCAGGGCTCAGAGAAAGTTTCAAAGAGGTTGGTTACTTAGGTGCTCCCAGTTGGAAGTTGATATAGGCATTCCAGACAAAGTAACAGGTATGGAGACATGAAAATGAGAGAGGGCATTCCGTCACTAAGGAGCTTTCAGTAGATTGCTATCAGTAGAAAGTAGTGTGTTAAAGAGTGTGGACTTTGGAGTCTTGACAGGTGTGGTTGCAAACTTTGATTCATGAGCAGTCTGGGCCTTTCCTGATCTTGCCTCTGTTGGATAGTCTAGTGGTAACTTCACTGTTAGCCTTAGTACAAAGAAGTGTTCTAGGATGCCCCTAGTTTTCATCTATACTCCTTGTAACTTCGCTTTTATCTATTGTCTGGTGGCATGAGGAGACCCAAGTAGCCTCACCTCCCAGTTAATGAAGCCGTTATTGGGTCTTCTGGTGAAAGCATTCTCACGTTGCTGTTAGCTGTCATCGAGTTGGCCCCCAACTCATGGCGACCCCGTGTGTGACAGAGTAGAACTGCTCTGTAGGATTTTCTGGGCTGTGATCATTATGGAAGTAGATCACCAGGACTTTTCTTCCATGGAGCTGTTGGGTGGGTTCAAACCACTAACCTTTAGGTTAGCAGCTGATTGCAAACTTGTGCCACTTGGGCCTCTATTCTCATCTTAGCTACTATAATTTCTTTCTTTTTTTATTGTTGTACTTTAAGTGAAAGTTTACAATTCAAGTTAGTCTCTCATACAAAAATTTATACATACATGGTTATGTGACCCTAGTTGCTCTCCCTATACTGTGACAACACACTCCTCCTTTCTACCCCTGATTTCCAGTTTCCATTCAACCAGCTCCTGACCCTCTCTGCCTTCTCATCTTACCTCTGGACAGAAGCTGCCCGTTTAGTCAAAATGTATCTCCTTGAGCTAAGAGGCACACTCTTCACGAGTATCATTTTATGTCCCATAGTCCAGTCTAATCTTTGTCTGAAGAGTTGGCCTCAGGAATTGTTTTAGGTCTGGGTTGACAGTCCGGGGGCCATGCTTTCTGGGGTTCCTCCAATCTCAGACCATTAAGTCTGGTCTTTTTACTAGAATTTGAGTTCTATACCCTACTTTTCTCATGCTCCATCGGGACTGTCTGTTGTGTTCCCTGTCAGGGTGGTCATTGGTGGTAGCTGGGCACCATCTAGTTCTTCTGGTCTCAGGCTGATGAAGTCTCTGGTTTATGTTGCCCTTTTTGTCTCTTTCGGCT